GTACCCACAGAAGTCATTTCTGATCACCACAGACATGGCTCCCCAAAGGTAACTCTGATGATTTGTTTAGTTATTCACTCAGATTGGGCCTCTGAACCAATTCTAGGCAGGGAGACATAAGAGGAAGTTCAAAAGGGACCTCATTTCTTAAGAAAGGAGAGTTCTCTATTCATCTTCTTTCTGGTGTGTAAATGTGATGGCTGGAGCTGGAGCAGCCATTTTGGTACTAAAAACAAGGCTGGGACTGATGAAAAAGTCTGGGTTCCTGGGAGTTTATGATCTTATTGAACCAAACATGATATGAACTAGCAAGCCATGGCCTTAGTCACAGGTACTCAGGTATTTTTGTTCTTTGGAGTCAATCCACATGAACTGATATTTGAGAATTGAATAAAATCATATACATAAGCAAAGCAGGGCAGAAGTGTGGAGCCATGAGGCCAATCACCTTGATAGCTTATGATTTTCTTCTCATTAACTCATTCAATTACTTCTGTAGCTGGAACCCCTCAAGGCCAACGTACTGGCAGGTGATATTACAGGACTCTCCCTAAGTACTGGGGACCAGTGAATCATTTACGGCTATTTGACAGACAACAGGCATGGACATGTCCCCTGCTATGGACCATCTTACAGCTCCCTCTGTGTTGTGTGGCCAGGCAGAGCAAACTCAGAAGTGCTGGGTAATTTGAAGGCTCACCTATCAGGGTGCCCTTACATATCATTGCTGAAACGCGCAGAGTCAGAAAGAGATTTCCCAGGCCACGTGGACCAGCCTCAGCTCCTGAGAATTCCACATCTCTAGCCCGCCAAACTGAACCCACAGAAGACAACGCTGTGGCCCCTTCTCTATCCCTGTGCCCCATGAGCCCTGCCTCTTCTCATCCCTAGGGACAGCCCATTCTGTGCCCTCCACCTGGGGTGACTGGCTGTCCTGTGTTTCCATCAACTTCTCAGCAGCCATTTCTTTAAAAATGCTCACCGAAACATTCTGTCTTTGGGGAAAATGAGGCCCAGAGAACAGATATCCGGCATGCATTTTAGTATAAACAGCAGAGAGCACTTACCTGAGTATAAATTCTGGTAGCAAGTTCTGGACATAAGTGGGGTTTTGATCCAAGCCATTGGAAGGCGTCATAACCTCTTTCAATCTCTACTTCCTCTGCATTCTTCCTAGTATATGCTTCCTGATGGCTGCCCCAGTGTCCACCATGTTTGACTTTCAGGTTTTACCCCATCTTGTTCTCTAGTGAACAGCCTTGCCATACCTTCGGTTCCCCAAGGCAGACCCAGAGAGCCGCTCGCCTTTTAGGAGTTTCTTGGGACTTGGGACTCAGGGCTCATGCTCTGGCTATCGTCACAGCTGATGCCATTCCCATGTGATTGATGGATGATTCAGTACTACCCCAAGAGCATTGGGTTGAATTCCTGCCCCCTGGCACTTTCAGCTGTGTGGCCTTGGAGAACTCACATGAGTTCTCTGTGCTCTTGGTTTCTTCCTGTGGCTCCTGGCACTGAGAAAGTGATGATGATGATGATGATGGTGGTGGTGGTGGTGTGTGTGTGTGTGTGTATGTAGGGGGTTGCATGAAAGCTTATCACAGAGCAAATACTCAGTAGCCCCAACCCTGTCTACAGAATGTTCTCCATCTTCTTGTTCCCTGTCCTGGTAACATGCCCAAGGTGGGAATCTGACCTAGGGCATTCCTGTGTCCCACACCCCAGCCTGCCATACATGTGCGGGTCATAAAGGACTGCTTTTGGCTGTCCTCTTGTTCCTTCTGAAGCTCGGCCTTCTACTTTATCTCAGGCGGGCTCCCTGCACCAGCAGGAAGCTGTAATCATGCAGGAGGTGTCCTGGCAGCTCTCCCGGAGCAGCTGTAAATAATAAATAAATTCCAAAGAATGGATGGGGGAAGGGCTTCCAGAGGAGGGGCAGAGAACAGCCTTCCTCCACCAGTCAGTGAGGCTGGCCTGACCAGAGCCAGATGCATGGAAGATTCCAGACCCAGTCTCGGGACCAGGTACCCAGAGGCCCCGAGGCTGACATCTGTATCAGATCTGCTCACAGCCTGTTTGTCTGCCATGTACTCATCCCCTGAACATGTTGGGAGCCCGAACTGCTTGCAAGTAAGTGGCAGAGGGCCAGGTCTATGCAGGCCCGGGCTGGCTGTTTAGCATACACTTTGGTGGCCTGCTGATCTGGGTAGCTGCCTTGAGTGGCAGTGGGTGGGTTGAGCTCTGTTGGGTCCAGGCACCCCCTCCTTTCCTGGGACCCAAGGGACAATGGAAGGGAGCTCTGGACTTCAGGTTTAAGTAGATGCTAGCAGGAGCAAGGTAACTGTTCTTCCACCAGGCCTAACCTCCTGCCTCCGCCATGGTCTTTCTCATTTCCCCTCTCTGCTACTGGGTCATTTCGTTGAGGTTGACTTGCTGGAGTCTAGCCACAGATAGGGGACCCTAGGACTCTCCACTGTGCACAAGAGGAAGAAACAGAAAAGCAAGGGCCTTGGTAGAGTAGCCTAAGTGACTTAACCATACAAAGGATGACGTTTGCCTCCAGGGTCCTGACACACAGTTGGTCCTCAGCACCTGGTAGAGGCTGAGCAAACAAATGGTTGTTATTCATTTTCTGTGTTCTTATCACAGAGGCTCAGCTTGTGTGGCCAGCCTGGGGCCAGCCTGGGGTCAGCCCCCTCTCACTCTCAGGGCCCCTTCCCTGAGGTTGGCTGTGGTGTGAGGCGGGGTCTCCAGTTTTTCTCATCACTGGTCACCAGGTGAAGTCAACAGTTCTGCTAGTTTGCTCTGTTAAGGACAATGTCCAGGAGGAGACACTGAAATGGGACGACAGAAATGCCACCCTAGTCAGCTTTGCTCCCACGTGGCCAGCAGATGCAGCCTGTCTACACTCCAAAAACCAAATGCAAAGGGGTCTGAACTCCAGGAGAGACTCTTTTCCGGGCTCCTGAAGGGTCTTGGGTCCCTGCTTCCAAGCACTTGGAGTCTCTGAAGATGTCTGGCAGCATTCTGTGAGCCCTCTGCTAGATCAAGATGGAAGCTTGCCTGCCTTGTGTCCTCTGATCTCAGTGCCTCTCAGGCTGGAGACCACACCCCCATCTCCTGTACCCACAGTGCCTCATGGGATGCACAGAACCCATGAACTTTCGCATTTGACTTTTGCTGTGGGATGTTCTGTATGGCAAATGTGTTGCTCTGATTGGTTAGTAAATAAAACACTGATTGGCCAGTAGTCAGGCAGGAGAAAGTATAGGTGGGACAAGGAGGAGAAGAATTCTGGGAAGTGGAAGGCTGAGTTAGAGACACTGTCAGCCGCCACCATGAAAAGCCGCATGTGAAGATGCCGGTAAGCCACGAGCCATGTGGCAAGGTATAGATTTATAGAAATGGGTTAATTTAAGATAGAAGAAGTTAGCAAGAAGCCTGCCATGGCCATACAGTTTGTAAGCAATATAAGTCTCTGTGTTTACTTGGTTGGGTCTGAGTGGCTGTGGTACTGGTGGGTGAGAGAGATTTGTCCTGACTATGGGCAAGGCAGGAAAACTCTAGCTACAGACTTTCTTGTCTGGAGGCCCTCCTAATCCTTTCAGTGACTGCAGCCAGGGATGCTGGGGTTGGGTTTTATGGAACATCTACCTGCTTTGGGGTCCACCTAGGTCTTTGTCCAATATTTCATTTTGTGCCTTGGGGTCTGGGTTCCAGCCACAGTGATCTAGGCTGGTGCAAGATGGCTGCTGTTAGCCACTGGACACACACACACACACACACACACACACACACACACACACACACACACAAATGCATATTCAGGAATATATACACACACACCAAACAAAATTATTTCTCCTTTTCTGGTAGAAGAAAAAGGCCATGCATCCTGTCTTTCTCATCTTTCAGGGGTATTAAAATGAAAGGAGAATGCATCTTTCTGTGTCTCAGTTCTGTGTGACGAGAAGCAACACTGGCTGTTGCTACTTCCTGGGCATGCCCTCCTCACAGCCAGGCAGGCATCAGTTTCCTCTGTCTCTCAAGGAGGCAAGTAGCAGAAAGAAATATGGCCCATGGTCTCAGGTGTTTGAAGACTTCGAGACTGTAAAGACTAGTGCCATTTTGAGTTTGCTCTCTCTGATTCGTGTTTGTGGTTCAAGATGTGAGCCCTCAGCCTCCTGCTCCAACCTCCATGCCTGCCATCACACTTCCCCCGCCACAACCGACTCTTTTCTCTGGAACTGAAAGCCCAAACAAACTCCTATAACTTGCCTTGGCTGTGGTGTTTTATCAAACAAAACAAAAAAAAACTAACAAATACATTGCCCAAGGCTCAGGCAGGCTCGAGAGTCTGGAACTCCGAGGATTGTGGAGCCTCTGAGCAACAGTCTCCTGAGTTTCTGGCCTCTGGGCTACTCACAGGAGGAAGCACTTGTGGCTCAGAGGTCCTGTGGACTTGCTGAAAGAGCTGGGCACATGCTGCATCTTGGCTCCTGGCTGGTTTGGATTGGCAGCCGCTAGCAAGCGGGCATTCCAGGCTGGGGAACAGTGAGCAGCTGCTGTACAGCTGTGACAAAGGATGGCATGCTGCCTTCATCCTAGGAGCCGGGGGTTCTAGGGGACAATGGAAGGAGGGATAGCGATGTAGCTCAAACCCAGTTTGTGATAGGAGATGCCTAACACCTGAGCCATGCCAATGATACTCCATGGTTCTACATGCCCTCACTGAGATGTCTGACAGTGGGTTGAGCCCTCATTGAGACATTTGGCTTCAGGTTGGGGGCTTAGGCCAGGCACTGACTGCCTCAGAGGCAGTACATGGCTAAAAGGAGGCATCCCTAAGGACCTGGTCATGAGGTTCACTGGAAACTCATGAGGCAAACAGAGCCCTAGGTCTGCACGCTGAGCTCCTGAGTCATTGTCTCCAAGGAGGCCCTGTCCCCACCAAGTCCAGAGGAGACGCAAGCAGAAAAGCATATGGAGGTTGGACCTCGAGTCAGCCTCGGGAGGGCTTTGTTAAGGGCCTCAAGTGTCACCTGTGTGAGGTAAGAAGATAACTCAGTTGTTTCCTTGTCCAATGAAATCCAACTGAACCTCAGAAAATGCACACACTCTATATTCATCAAGTGGGAAGAAACTCATGCAGTATTGAAGCATCCTGAGGAAGGGGAGTGTAAGCCTTAGGTGGTTTGAGCACAGAATACCAGTGGGAAGAGTGGACACTGGGCAAGGGCTTAACCCAGAAGTGACTGAAGGAAGAGCATTGGGAACACGGCCTCAGCAACCATCACCGTGTGCATGGGAGTCAGAGGCACACATCTCACAAGGTAGGTACATGTTGTAGGCCATACATTAGAGATGCTGCCTACAGCTGTGAAGAAGGGAGATGGGCACCAAAATGGACCCAGAGAGGAACTTGGAATTGGTGATCACTGAGCTATAGATGATGGGAAAATTCAGGTGACTTTAGTCCTCTGCTCCCCAGGGAAATGCCATCTACCTCAGAGGAATGGGAAAAGTGGAAGAAGAAGGATTTTAAAGAGGAGAAAGAGAAATGGGGAAGGAAAGTGGGGAATGAAGTAGTGGGCTGATGCCCCTTTCTGAATGGAGACGGAGGAGGAGTGGGTGGAGAGGTGGTAGATGGGAGTCCGGGGGAGGGGACGGGAAGAGAGGAGGGAGGGGAAACTGTGATTAGGATCTAAAATAAATGAAAAAATGTTAATTAAACAAAAAAGAGGAAGGCTGAGAGGAGCAGGGAAGGGGAAGAGGAAGAGGCAGGAGGGGAGAAAGGAAAGTCACATTTGTGCCAAATCAAGTTCAGGGCTCTTCCCAGCAACCTAAGTTCTAATACCCACCCTGAACACAAGAAAATGCCCTTCCGCAGGTGAGCGCTGAAGTCACCCGTGACACCCATGCTACTATTCATGAGCCAGGGAAAGAAAAAGAATAAATCAGGGACTGACCACAAAACATAGAGGGAGGAGCTAAACTTGAGGGAGTGGCTGCCATGTTGCAGGCATGGAGGAAGTTGGGGGGAGTCAGAGAGAGTATTGGCTTCTCTGGGCATCTGTGGAAAATACTGTGGATTTTATCGGCCCAAATGACAGAAATTTATTTTCTAATAGCTTGATGTCTTTGAGTCCACGATCCAGGTATCAGCAGGCCTGTCTCTCTCCTTGCCTTGAAGATAGTCATTTTCTTTCTGTGTCTTCTTAGATCTTTCCTCTCTGTGTGTCCTGGTCTTAAGAGTCACATTGGAGTTAGGGACAGTCCCTATGATACCATTTTACTGAAACTGTGCCTTAAGTACCTGTCTCCAGCTGGGCAGTGGTGGCAAACACCTTTAATCCCATCACTCAGGGAGGCAGAGGCAGGCAGATCCCTCTGTGAGTTCCAGGCCAGCCTGGTCTACAGAACCAGAGCAAGGAAAGGCTCTAAAACTACACAGAGAAACCCTGTCTCAAAAAAAAAAAAACAAACCAAACCAAACCAAAACAAAAGTACCTGTCTCCAGATCCTGCCATATCCTCAAATTGTGAGGTATGCTGACTAGTTCTCTCTCTCTCTCTCTCTCTCTCTCTCTCTCTCTCTCTCTCTCTCTCTCTCT